GGTCGTAATAGTAAACGTAATCAATGGCCAAATGCGGTACCGATAGTGTTAGGCTTATAGCCCATAGAGTTAATAATAAAATAGGCGTGGGCACTTTGTTGATCCAATTTTTAAACTCGTAACCATGTTTGAATGATAGGTACCGGTGCCAGGCCAATAGTACCGTGGTAAATGACTCAACGTACAGATTGCTAACACTCATGTAATTGTGAAGGCTCTGTAATAAACTCGGTAGTTTAGGGTAAACATCGGACACAAATTGATGGGTAAAATGTATGATACATATGCGGACAACGATCATGGTCGAATCGGCGAATTTCATATTCAATATGAGCCAATTGTATTGCGGACTATAGCCGAGCAGTTCCAGCGCAGACCTCTTACGGCGGATTGAATGCCAAATGGTTACCACAAATACCATGTTTGATACAAATGTAATTGTATCGAAAGCGTACCACATCGAGTTTATTTTGGATAAATTTAGCTCCATTATGCTTTTAGTGTATTTTTTAATTTTCTATCACACCATGGATCTAACACATAATAAATTAGATAGATTACTTTATTTGTAAATGTCATTAACCAATTATGGTTTGAATTTTTTGTTTTTAAAATATTATTGTCAAATATTTGATAGCAACAATACTCTTTACACTGTATTAATTAAAAATAACCATAATTGTTTATTGACTTTATATCACAATAGTTTATATTTTGTTAAAAATGGTTTGTCAAACATATCATGTTAAATATTTTAAATTAAATAATAATTGCATATAGTGTATAATAACAATTATATCTAACTTGTAAGCAAATGTTATGAATAGCAAAAGCAAATGAATAATAGCATATAATTCATTGTACAAAATACAATCAATTGCAATTATAAATTAAACATTAATTATATTGGATTTATTACTTAAATAAATTTGTAGCTTGGTGAATTAGTGAATGAACATTAAACACTTGGTAAATTCACGATTACAAAAATGAAATAGATCAACGCTGTTCTTTAATAGCACGTGAAATAAATAAATTTTAAAAAGTATCTAAAAAATAAATTACCAAACATGTTGTGATTTGGTTGTTTAGTGTGGGAAAGAATTGAACAATAGTAACAATAGTTATATATTATTTAAAATTGCGCCAAATTTATCTACAGTATGTTTATTTATATCCACAATCTTTGATCTAGCACACCCTTATTTATGATGTGCACAAGTGGGTGATATTATGGAGCGTTTAAATTAATTGTCACTCAAAATTGTTTACAAAAGTATATTTTCTTTAATTCATTGATAATTTTTCAGGAATAATATTACAAGAATCTATGAATACTATAGTTTTTAGCTTCAAATGTATACATAAACATTGCGATAATTATTACAATTTTGATTTAAAAATGATTATCATTGTCATTATCTAACGATATCGTAATCAACTGTTAATACAGCATATAATTTATTGGCAATTGTAATTATATATTATATTTATAGGAAATAATGAATACAATTATAATCAGATATTTAATAATAATCAAATGTTTTAATTCATATTTAAATAATAATTTGTTTTCAATGTTTTGTGTAGTTTTGCATTACAATAATTGTTTTTACATATAACTTTAATACATATATCTTATTGTTTGAAATATAAAATTAACAATTGAATATAATTATCATATGAGTTAATATTTTTGTGTTTGTTTTAATTGTGTTTATACTTTACTATAATGTTGAAATTAACCATGTATTCATACTAATAATTATAAGTTAGATTATTTTGTTTTATAAAACAAAATCTTATAGAAAAGTGAATTAACGTTAGAATTAAGTGTATTTAAAACTTCATTGAAATTGTTTTGTTTCGCGACAACAGTCTTATCGATAGACCACTTGTTATGTTTGGCCAACACTTCCCGACACTCAGGCCTTTGTTTCCAATTCGCTGCCATTTTCTCCAATAACTCATTCATACATATTATGGATGTCTCGAAAGTCAAATCATTTGCAGCAAACGATTTGCAGCAAATAAATGAACATAAAATTTAATAATAAGTTTAAAATTAAATACAAAATATATAATTAATAAAAACAAACGCGTGTATATCGATGTCATCCTTATGCTTTGTCCAATTACTCCGAGACTATATATGTCTGATTTATGATTATATCTGCCTTTATATACTTCGGGCGCAACGAATCCAAGTGTGCCGATAGGCGTGTGTTTGTAACGGCTAGCAGTGGGTCGGCTCGGGTCGTGAACAGTGGCCAAACCAAAGTCACCCAATTTTATGAATCGCCGGCTATTGTTATGACCACTAAATCCATTCACAATCAACACATTGTCGGGTTTTAGATCGCGATGTATTATCTGAGGTTTTAATTCATGCAAAAACTGGACGCCCTCTAAGAGCTCATTGAATATTTCACCCGATATGTAATACTCGTGAATATTCATGGGTTCGGCCGGCGATTGTCTGCCAAATGCCGGCCCTTTAGTCTCCAATACTGTGCGCAGACTTTGCGAGCAATACTCCATCTGAATGTACAGTTGTTTGGTATTGTTGTCGAGCCATGAGGAGTAATACTGTACCACATATTCTGAGCGCACTGTTACCAAACTTTTCACCTCTTTAAGCACCCGGTGTTTGTGTTTGTGGTCATCACTTATTTCTGGTGATTAACGCACGTATAATACGTATACACTTAAAGTTGTCTAATTTCACATAATTGGGACCGTAGTTTTCGTTGTGTGAAATTACAGAATGTGAAATTATAGATAAAAATGTTGCATCACTTTTTCAATTGACTATACCTATAATAATATGGTTTTCATAATCAGACGTTGTTGTATGGGTGAGAAGTAATGCTACAAATAACGTTGTACCATAAAACTATTCAAATTACAGTTGCACATATATGATTTTACCAAGCTAGCATTTTAAATTATTTGCAATTTGTAAACAATCAATGTAATTAAATAATAACACTTTTGTTGCCTATGGGTTATTGTAGTATTTTAATCATTACAATCTGATTAAATTAAAAATTTAACATATAATTAAAAGTTAGTATATATTGATTTTACTGTATATGTTTTTTATAACCGTTATTTGTAGCATTACTTCTCACCCATACAACAACGTCTGTTCATAATAAACTGAAAATAATGGTCGGATATAAGTTATTTCAGTGGTTACATTAAGGCATTTTGTTAGAAATTTATATTTTCACAATTTACAACTAACTTTTATACCCAAAATCATAGTCTTGCAGGGTGGGTAAATTTAGGTAAATGCAGGTATTGGAGGGTAATATACTTTATGCACCATTTATAATCATCTTTCTGCATTAAAAAATGAAATTTACAACTAACTTTTATACCCAAAATCATAGTCTTGCAGGGTGGGTAAATTTAGGTAAATGCAGGTATTGGAGGGTAATATACTTTATGCACCATTTATAATCATCTTTCTGCATTAAAAAATGTTGTAGCAAATAATGAGAAATGTAGATTGTTTATATTTAGTGAATTTAGTTGTTTTAATAAAAATTCTATTTAAAATGATGTGAAAAATTAGTTTGCATTTTCTCAATAGCTCTCTAAATAATTTTTTAATAACTCACTCGGTGTCACTCATTTGGTGCCAATATTAATAAATAAATGTAATGGCATTTGTGATTAATGTTTGGACAGTTATCATAATACACCAAAAATACTGCCTAAATAAAAACTAATTTTAATAACATTTGCGAAACTATACCCGAAATCCATTGAAATCATGAAAAATTGCTTACATTAAAATGTGAAAATATAATATGCTCCCTATGCACACCATGTTAACACAATCACATTTATGTGTGAAAGTGACATTATAGAGCTGTGAAATTGGCCCATACTAAAACATATACCCCAAGGTGGGGTTAGTAACATTGTGTGAATTTAGACAACTTGTGAAATAGTACAATGTGAAAATAAACGACTCTAAGTGTATATACAATACAATACGTGTAAATACAAATAATTAGCACTAGTAAATGATTGAGCCTAGGCACTCTTACCGGTATAAGTGACCTTTTTAATAGCGTAAAACATTTTGTCTATTTTATGTTTCACTTTAAACACTGTGCCGAACCCTCCCCTCCCTATCTCTTCGAGTTGATCAAAAGTATCGATGTAATGGTTGTTATGAAACTCCTGGTCCTCATCTGTCAAATATTAATTATCATTATATATAAAGTTTTTGTTTTGTAAATTTTTGTAAATTTATCAAAATGTTCATAATTACCATCACTTATATCCATTGCGCTGAGACTACTGTCAAGACTGGCCATCGTTTGTGATAATTGACTGCCACTCGCATTATTGCCATCGATTGACATAACGTCTAAACTTTGTATTTTACTTTCATCTGATGGTAATATTGTTGTTTCATTGATTGCATTCAAATCAATTGTATTATAAGTTACTTTCCATACATTGATGTAATAATCGATATAATTATTATAATTTGTTTCAATTATTTTGTTTTCTTTTGTGAAATAATATATCTTATCGTTAATTAAAACACACATTAAGTCTTTAATATGTGTATCAAAATCGTAATTATTTATTGCTTTCGTTTGTCTTATATTTTTGATATTTTGATCGCAAAGTATATGTTTCGGACTTTTTTCAAACAGTTTATTATTGTTTTCATAATATTCTCCACAAAAATACAAACCATTTGTTGTGTGAAAATATGTGCCATAATTACTGCAATTCAGTGCTTTCACACCACTTATGGTTGATATCAGTCGGGGGTTCAAAAGTTTATCATCGGTTATATTTAGTCCCAATTTATGGTTTTTATTCTGACCCCAACTGAAGACATGTCCGTCGGATGTGATGGCAAACGAAGAGTTATAAAAACAATAAACGGACTGTATTTTAAAATCTCCAAATAGCAGTTCAATTGGCGTACAAATCATATCATTATTATTTCCACAACCAATTTGTCCGAAATCATTGCGACCCCAGGCATACACCCGGCCATCACTGGTTAGGGCCAGAGTGTGATGAAAACCACAACTGATTTGAATAATATTTTTGTCGTTCAAATATGATATAATCTCTGGTCGTAATTTGTCGATTTTATATTGTTGAGCCAATTGACCCTGGTCATTGCTTCCCCAACCGTAGACCATATTTGTGTGATTTACTGCTAACACAAAATCAAATCCATTGACAAAGTATTTGATGTTTTGATGACATAATTGTTGTATCGTTTCTGGCGATAGTACGGGAAAGTTGTGGCCCAAACCCAGACATCCTTTATAATTATTGCCAACACAATAGACCCGATCATCGTTTGTCACAAATAATACATTATATTTATCGAGAAAATCATTAAAAACGTGAAGTTTAACTATGTGTGCTCTAATATTTACAGGAATATTAAAGCACATGGTCAGCATTTTTGATAACTCACTCATTTTTATTAAATTATGATAAATTAACAAAACAATTAAACTAAAACAGACAAAAATATTTTGTGTTTTAATCAAATAATTTTAGCACAAAATCCATGCCTTCTTTGTTCAACATTTTTCAAGTCAAATGAATTAATATGCAGTTTGTATGTGAATTGTATTATTTGAATCATTTGTAGCCATAGTCTAATATTAAAACTTATTGATGACATTAAACTTAAGCATTGAATTAACGCATGAAATCAACTTAAAAACATTCATTTTTGTAATTTTCATATCAAGTGCTACAATGAATGAGTTTTAACATTAGATTTTAAGGCTAAGAATGAGTCACAGAATTGTAATTAATATATTATACGGTTAGCTTATACGCAGGTATAATGGGATTAGAATAAACATTGAGGTAAATTACACACAATGAGTATTTATGTGTCCAATGGTTAGCACGGGAGTAATGGTCAGTATAGCTCACGTACAATAGTGAAGGGTAACCACACACAGAATGATTTAACAACATAATATGATTATTCCCTAAATGTATCAAGGTCAAATAGAATATGAATACATGGAATTATCTGGAAAATCCGTGTAGATTTTATTGTAATAATGAATTTAATTATAATCAGATATTTAATAATAATCAAATGTTTTAATTCATATTTAAATAATAATTTGTTTCCAATGTTTTGTGTAGTTTTGTATTACAATAATTGTTTTTACATATAATTTTAATACATATACCTTATTGTTTGAAATATAAAATTAATAATTGAATATAATTATCAAATCAGTTAATATTTTTGTGTTGTTTTAATTGTGTTTATACTTTACTTTAATATTGAAATTAACTTTAATATTAATATTATTAATTATAAAGGAGATTATTTTGTTTTATAAAACAAAATCTCATAGAAAAGTAAATTGACGTTAGATTTAAGTGTATTTAATACTGAATTGAATTCCTTATGATTCGTGACAACAGTCTTATCGATAGACCACTTGTTTTGTTTGGCCAACACTTCCCGACATTCAGGCCGTTGTTTCCAATTCGCCGCCATTTTCTCCAATAACTCATTCATACATATTATGGATGTCTTGAAAATCAAATCATTTGCGGCAAACGATTGGGTGCTATAAATGAATATAAAATTTAATCATAAGTTCAAAATTAATTACAAAATATATAATAAATAAACACAAACTCGTATATATTGATGTCAAACAAACTTTGTCCAATTAGTCCAAGACTATATATGTCTGACTTGTGGTTATATCTGCCGTTATATACTTCGGGCGCTACGTATACACGTGTGCCGACAGCTGAGTGCTGGTATCGGCTGTCAGTGTGTCGGCTCGTGTCGTGAACAGTGGCCAAACCAAAGTCACACAATTTTATGAATCGCTGGCTATTGTTGTTATTACCGCTTAATGTGTTGGCAATCATCACATTTTCGGGTTTAAGATCGCGATGTATTATCTGAGGTTTTAATTCATGCAAATACTGGACGCACTCTAAGAGCTCTTTGAATATTTCACACGATATGAAGTACTCAAATGAATTCATCGCTTCGGCCGCCCATTGTCTGCCAAATGCCGGCCCTTTAGTCTCCAATACTGTGCGCAGACTTTGCGGGCAATACTCCATCTGAATGTACAGTCGAGTGCTGTTGTCGTCGAGCCATGAGTTGTGATACTGTACCACATATTGTGAGCTCAACTTTGCCAAACATTTTACCTCATCAACCACTCGGTGTTTGTGATTGTGGTCATCATTTATTTCTGGTGATTATTGCATACAATATAATATATAAATACAAATAATTAGTACTAGTAAATGATTGCAACTAGACACTCTTACCGGTATAAGTGACCTTTTTAATAGCGTAAATCTCTCCGTCCAATTTATGCTTCACTTTATACACAGTGCCGAACCCACCCCTACCTATCTGTTGGAGTTGATCAAAATGATGAATGTAAGAGTGGTTTTGCGGCTCTTCCTCCTCATCTGTCAAATAATTATTAATGATTTTTGTGTAAATTTATCGACGTTTTCATACTTACCATCGCTTATATCCATTGCGCTAAGACTACTGCCAAGACTTTAAAACACAAAACTAATACAAAAACACACAAAAATATTTCGTGTTTTAATCAAATAATTTGAGCACAAAATCCATGCTTTCTTTGTTCAAAATTTTTCATTAAATGAATTAATATGAATATACAGTTTGTATGTGAATTGTATTCATTGCCAACATTCATTGCTATTGAGTCTAAAGTTATAAAGTTTTAACTTAAAACTTATTTATGACATTAGATTCCATGGCTAAGAATGATTCAAAAAAATATAATTAATGTATTATACGATTAGCTCATATACAATGAGATTATAATAAACATTGAGGTAAATTACTCACAATTAGTATTTATGTGTCCAAATGGCACAGCAGTCAGTATAACTCACACCAGTGAAGGGCAACCCATATGAATAGAATTTAATAACACAATGTGATAATTTGCTAAATGTATCAGGGTCGAATTTTTCCAATTATAATTTATTTTATTTTAATAAACAATTAATTTGATCTGCTATTTGAAAGACAGTTATACGGTATAATGTGTAAAGGTATTAATAATTGGCAAAAACAAGAATTTAATATAATTTTTATTTTATTTAGTTTTTTACACATAATATCAAAACAATTATGATTTCAACTATTAATTTAAATATTGGTATAACTGATATATGTTTGCCTTTGGATATTTCTAGTGTAGCTAGGATAGTGAAATTAATTTTATAATTTAGGTTAACATTCCTAGGCATCAGAAACCAAGTTTCATAAAGATCGGATGAAATTAATTTCACTATCCTAGCTACAATAGAAATATCCAAAGGCAAACATATATCAGTTATACCAATAATAATAATTGCATATTTTAATATAACATTAATAATAATTTATACTAAAAACATAGGAAATAATTAAATATGGTTAAAATCCTAATACATTAAACGGTTGTAGTTTGACCATGATCATTATTATCCTGCTTTTTGGCAATTTTGGTCCTGGCTTTACGTTTGTTGGGCTTCTGTTTATTACGCATAGTATTAAAATAGCCAAACATTATATTTGTAATCATTGTTATAGTGTTGGCAATAAATATCATGTAAAAATGATGATGGTTGTTGTCCAGAAAATTACATGTGTCCTTTGCAGAAAATACACCAAAATTATTACCATACTGTAAAGCAAGCTTTTTGGCCACAAATAGCACCAGGGTCGATATCAAATACATTAAAATATTGTTATTTCCAGATTTCAATTGATTTTGTATACGTCTAAACTTGTTTCCAGTAACCTGGGTTGTTTGATTAGTACCCATGTTAAGTTTAATTGTAATGACCGTAATGTAGGAAATAATGACAAACACTATACATTCCAGCCATACTCGACACTTACGTGATAATGCTTTCATATTAGCCATGATCATCCAAGTATTAAACCAACTATCCGATTTGAGACACAAATACTTTTTAACCCGATGGTCGTAATAATAAACATAATCATTTGCCAAATGCGGTACCCCAAGTGTTAAGCTTATAAGCCATACGATTAATAATAATACTAACGTTGATAAACGGTTAATGCAATTCTTGAACTTAAAACCATGTTTGAATGTTAGGTACCGGTGCCATCCCAATATAACCATGGTTAATGAGTCCATGTACAGAGTGCTAACATTCAGGTAATTGTGAATATTTTGCAATATACTCGGGAGGTTAGGGTAGTTATCAGACACAATGTAATATGTGAAATGTATACGACACGTGCGCACAACCAGCATGGTAGAATCGCCTATTTTCATGTTAAATATTAACCAATCGTATTGCGAACTATAGCTGACCCGTTCGGGAGCAGACCTGGTTCGGTGAATTGAATCCCATATGGTTTTTGCAATAACCATGTTTGAAATAAATGTTATTGTATCAAGGGCATACAAGATTGATATTATTCTTGACAAATTTAATTCCATGACTATTTTCACATATACAGAACACACAAAGAATTATTTAACTCATTCTATTTATGCATAAATCTTGATAAATAATGATAGAATGCTATTGTTTATAAAATTACTACCAGATATTTGATATACAATACTTTACATTATATGAAATAATCAGGATTGTTTATTTAATTTAGTAATATTAATTATATTTTTATGTCACAATAATAAGTTACTCATGTGGATTTTATATTTACTGTTACTGACGTATTTTTAAACGTATCATGTTAAATATTTAAAACTAAATAATATGCATAACATACTCATAATTTTGTTTAATTAAATGTTAGTACAATTAAAAGTATAAGTAATACTTTTGGCAATTCAATAGTTATTAGATTTATTTAGTTTAATGTAGTTTTAGTATTACATTCTATACTTTGAGCTAACTGGTTTTATACATGTTAAATGCTTATTATTTTAATTAAAAACTAGACTATTATTAATAGTCTTTTAATCAAAAATTGTATTAATCTAGAAAATTTTTTACTTGATTAAAACTATTAATATATGAGAACACGAGTACATTTAGTTTATTAATTTATAATTTTTATTTAATTTTATTTAAATTAAAATAATTTACTATAACTTATTATTTAAGATAGCAACATTTTATCGATTTATTTAACTTATCCTTATAGTTTTATTATTTATAAATTATTATTATTTATTAAACAATTAATTGACTCTTTGTTTAAGTTTCTATAATATTTTTTGTGTGAGTTTTGTGTAGTTTATGTTTGCGTTTTATGTAATTATAATACAATTATAATCAGTTATTTAATTACATTTAAGATTAATCCCTTAAAAATAATGTTCTTTTATTTTACCTTGAGTGTTATATTATTAAGTCATTAAATGTTGATACATAAGCTAATGTTAAATTTAATAACTAATATCTCAACTATTAAAATAATTATATCTAATACAATGGC